AGAATGTGGCATCAGAATTCAGGGAAAACTCATTATTAACTTGTTATGCAGATGTTACAATCTTTCTTGTTGAAAGTGAGGACTTGAAATACTGCTGCAGAAGATCAAACACTACAGCCTTCAATATGGATTGCATGGCAACATCAAGAAAACAAAAATTCAAATATCCTCACAACCTGACCAATAGGGAGACATCATAATAGATGGAGAAAAGATTGAAACTGTTGACTACTTCATCTTAATTATATCCACAATCAATACACTTGGTACTAGCAGTCAGGAGGTCAGGAGACATATTACACTGAGAAAGTCTGTACTCAGGCAACTCTCTAAATTACTGAAGAGAAATGAAGTTAGTTTGAGGACTAAGGTACACTTGATTCAGACCATGGTCTTTTCAGTCACTTGCTATACTGCTGAGAGTCAGACAATAAATAAGGATGACAGAATAAAAATTGGTGACTTTGAACTGTGGTGTTGGAAAAGAGTACTGAATACGGACTCTTCATATTCACTACTGCCAAAAGAACAAACAGATAGGCCTTGGAGAAGGTGCAGCCAGAGTAATTCTTGGAAGCTAAGATGGTGAAACTTCATCTTACATACTTTGAGCATGTTGCTAGGAAAGTTATTCTTTGAAGAGGGACATAATGCTTGGAAAGGCAGGAGGATGGTGAAAGAGAAAGATTCTCGACCAGGTGGATTGGCACTGGGCTCGAGTGTCAGAAATTGTGAGGTTGGCACAAGATAGAACAGGGTTCATAAAGTTGTTCATAAGGTCTCTATGGGTTGTACTTGACTCCACCGCCCCTAACAACAACAGCATTTATATTTACAGATGTTGTTGTTGCTGTTATGTGCCGTCGAGTCGCTTGAGACTCATATGACTATAAAACTAGATAAGTACATAAAATATGGGTCTTGTTCAATAAAAATTTACCATCGAGGTAGGGATGGAGGTGGTCATGGAGGTGATAACTGCCATAATCAAGAGTATACTATGCTTAAATCTAAAACAAGCTGAAGAATCAAGAGAGAAATGCAAAGGCATTTGATGCTGTCAATCACAACAAACTGTGGCTAACCTTGAGAAGAATGGGAATGCCGGAATACTTAATTGTGTCTATGAGAAATCGAAACCTATACTTGGACTAGGAGGCAGTTGTCAGAACAGAGAAAAGAAACATTACATGTTTCAAAATCAGGATAGATGTATGTCAGGAATGCATCCTATCTCCACAACTCTTCAATCTATATGCAGAACAGATCATCTGGGAGGCTGGGCTCTTATGAAAAGGAATGTGGCATCAAAACTAGAAGAAGACTCATCAACAACCCGTGTTATGTTATGCAAATAACACAACCTTGCTTGCAGAACTGAGGAAGACTTGAGGCATTTGCTACAGAAAGAACTGCAGCCTTCAATATGGATTGAAGCTCAACATCAAGAAAACAAAGATTCTCACCACTGAGCCAACTGGCAGTTTCATGACAGATGGTAAAGAGATTGAGATTGCTAACAGCTTCAGCTTGCTTGGTCCCACAATCAACAACTCTTGGTACCAGCAGCCAGGAAATCAAAGACAAATTGCATTCGGAAAATCTGCTGTTAGAGACCTCTCTAGAGTACTAAAGAGCAATGATGACTAAGGTGCACCCGATCCAGGCCATGATCTTTGCAATTACTTGCGATGTATCAAGAGCTAGACAATGGACTAAGGGTGACAGAAAGAAAATTGATATCTTTTGAGTTGTGGTGCTGGAGAAGAGTATTGAACGCACCATGAACTGCTAAGAGAGCAGACAGCTCCATCCTGGAGAGGGCTTCCTCCTTCTTCCAAACCAGGCTGCTCCTTGGAGGCAAGGATTTTGAAGTTCCTTCTGACTTACTTTGTTGCAAGGAAGGGACCAGTTCTTTAACAGAAACATCATGCTTGGAAGGATGGAGGGACAGCACAAGAGAGGAAGACCCTGGATGAGATGGATTGACTCAGTGACTGGAACAATACAGGTAGATGTGTCAGAGACAATGAAATTGGCTCAAGATAGAGCAGGGTTTAGAGTTGTTGTATATAGATAGGATCACTGAGTCAGAGTCAATTTGATGGCACATCACAAAAAAACCAACATATATTCTAGAAGGGAAAGGTATATAAAGATGCTGAAGATGAGTCCTGGTTCAAAAAAGACTTGCAATAGATGAATTTAAATCCATCTAGATGGATCTCAAGGAGGGAAAAAGAAAGAAGTGAGAAACTCCATTTTCAGGGCTGGGTGTCGGGGAGAGACAGTACAGTGTAGTGTCTGCTATTTAAAACTAGCTGGATAATTCATTAAGGGGACCTTCTTTTATCACTAAAGTTTTAACCCGAAGACATGTTTTCCTCATTCTTCCAGTTAGAAGATCTACCCAATAGCTGGTGCAGCGTGGTAGCACATGTTGTTATTGTTAGGTGGCATTAAGTTGAGTACAATTCATAGCAATCCTATGAACAACCGATCTGAACTGTGTTCTATAGTGTGCCATCCTCACACTTCCTGACACACAAGAGCCCATTGCAGCAGTCAACACAATTCGCCTGGTTGTGGGTCTTCCATCCTTTGACAACCCTCCACTCTTCCCAGCACCATATCCCTCTCCAAGGAATAGCCCCTCCTTGCAAATGCTCAAAGTATGTGAGGCGATCCTCATCATTCTTACCTCCAAAGAACACTCTGGCTGCACCCACTTAAAGACATATGTTTGTTCTCTTGGCCGTCCAGTGTTCTTCTCCAACACCACAGCTCAAAAGTGTCAATTCTTTGTCTGTCATCTTTATTCATTGTTCAGCTCTCAGATGCATAGCAAATGATCAGAAATACTATGGCCTAAATCAGATGGACCTTAGTCCTCAAACTGACATCATTACTCCTCAATAGTTTGGAGAGGTCCCTAAATGCAGATTTTTCCAGTGCAATGTGTCTCCTTATTTCCTGATTGCTGGTACCAAAAGTGTTAACTGTGGATCCAAGCAAGATGAAGCTGTTGACAGTTTCAGTCTCCTCTCTATCCATCATGACACTGACTACTGAATTATAGGAGCCACTAACCTGGCCTGACTTCCTGTGGTAACTTTTCCTAAGATTGTCTAAACTACTGATTTTTTTTTTTTTAAGTATACTCCTGGCACCAGTAGCCAGGAAATTAAAAGACATATTGGGAAAGTCTGCTGTTAGAGACCTCTTCAAAGTACTAAAGAGCAATGATGTCAGTCTGGAGACTAAGGTGCACCTGATCCAGGCCATGGTCTTTGAAATCTCTTGTTATGCCTCAGGGAGCTAGACAATGACTAGGCATGATAGAAGGAGAATTGAAGCCTTTGAGCTGTGATGTTGGAAAAGAGTGAATATACTCGTCTGGCGGGGACTACTCCAGGCTGTTCCTTAGAGGCAAGGATCCTAAAGCTTCATCTGGCATACTTTGGACAGGTTACAAGGCGGGATCAGTCCTTGGAGAGAGACGTCATGCTTGGGAGGGTGGAGGGACAGCGCAGGAGAGGAAGACCCTCCATGAGATGGACTGATTCAGTGACTGGGGTAATAGGGGTAGGTGTGTCAGAGACAATAAGATTAGCACAGGATAGAGCAGGGTTTAGGGCTGTTGTACATAAGGTCGCTATGAGTCGCTGGCAATTCGATGGCACATAACAACAGAGAACTTATTCTTAAGTCTTTTCACCCCTCTTCTGCCTTGACTGTCTCCCTAGATCCTCCTTATCATTACCTGTAGTACACAAAAACAAAGTGTACATGCTATTACATTATTTCAAACAAGGAATCAGAAAAGTAACTTGACTAATATAGAGAGTTGGAACCAGCTCAGATCTCAAGAGACATAATAAATTGGCGTCCTTTTCTCAAAGTTGCACTCTCTTGTCTGCTTCTACCTTACCATCTAGTCAGTTCAAAACGCTGCCTATATCACATATCTCTCACCTCAAATATTCCTGTGGTTCCTTATTCATCTCTACTGAAACTGAAACACTGAGTTACAGTTGCCTACTAATCTCCTTCCTCTCGAAAAAACACTTTCTTTACTCTTCACATATATTTATCCTGAACTGAATTCTGTACATTTTTCTTTGGAATAACATGCCACATTATATAGATGAACAAGCCTGTGCTAAAAAATGAAATGCACATTTTGCCTTATCAGCTTTGTCTTCCGCCATACCACTTAACCTTTCCAGTCTCACTCTTCTAGTTTGCAAAGTGGGGAAATGTTGGTATTTATAAAGTGTTTAACATAGTACTAAACTTTAAGCTTCTTAATAGTAGCTATTACTATTAAAATAATATTTACCTCACAGGATTTTTGTACTACAATTCTGACATGTAAGCAGCTCATCAAGAAATATTTTCTCTTGTCACACTGTCCTTAAAGTCACTAGCCTTTGCAATAAGGATCGAGAACCAACACAAATTTCTCGTCAGCTGCAAGAGATCCACATTTACTTAAAATCTCAAGTTACACAAAATAATACCTATTTGGAATTATATAAACATTTCTCTTTTAATTTTATGCCTCTGGAAAAAAATAATCACATTTGTATCTTCCCTAGAAGACAAGCTGTTACCATAACAAGAGTAGCAGCAAAGAGAGCAATTAATTTGTGGGTCTCCAGGTGCATTTCAGAGTTACCTTATTTTTCCTTGCTCCACAGCCGTAATAAGTTTGCTATACTAATTGCACAATTAAAAGTAGGGAGGGGGAAATCTACTTCAGACAATATTTCATAAGTATCAAGATGTGACTTTAAGTGGCACGCGTAATCATGGTCTGGGAGAGAGGCATGAATAAATGTGTCTGTTCCTGCAACGCGTGAACATGTGTCCATGCTACTGAATAATCTGTTCGTGTGCTTCGAGTTGTCTGAGCGCGGTGTGCATGCCCTTGAACCCCGAGGCGGAACAAGTGAGCGAGCCGGCGGCCCCCACGGGGCTGTCGGTCAGGTGCTTACCTCCCCGAAGGAGCAGGTGAACGCCACTGGGCGCCGCCATGTTGGCGCCGGTCACGTGGGCGTGGGCGTGGGCGCGAGCGCTCTCGCCCCGCCCCCAGGAGCTGTGCACTGGTATCTCCGCCGACAGCCGGAGGCGCCGAGGCAGCCGGAGGGGAAGCGCGCGTGCGCGCGGCGGGCGGACTGCGGGAGCCCTGGCGGGAGAGCGGCTTCGGCTCCCGGGCCAGCAGGGGAACGCGGCCGGCCGAGCCCGCTCCGGGCGCCCCAGGCGGGCTTCAGCTGCGGCTCGCGCGTACGCTCCCAGCCCCCGCGCCCAGGTGGGATGGAAGAAGCCTGTCAGGTAAGCTTGGTATACAGTATTTATACCATCAACATTTTGGTGCATGGAAACGTGAAGTTGGGAGGAAAAAATAAAGCAGGTCTAGCATGCACCATCGTCTCCTACTTTGTAGCAAATTATATCCTTGGATTCATTTGAAAGGTAAAATGTGGCCCAAAGTCACCAGCTAGTCCTTTACTGTCCCAGAATCTACATTACTCAGTACAGACTCCAGTCAAGACAGGTCTGTGTGCGGCTGTACAATCTATTCTAGGTACCCCAGTGGATATTTCCAGAGGACTTTTCTTTCTCCAAGGACACCTCCTGCGCACTGATAATAACTAAAGTCTTGTTTGTAAGTGTGACCTTTAAGAATGAGAGGATGACATTGGTCATATGAGCTGCCAAGAGAAGAAACCTACAGAAGGCCACTTAGGAGTCAAGTGAAGGAGCTGATGAATCCGAGTGATGACGATTTCCACATTTACAGATGTCTCTGTTCTCACCTGCATCCTAGGGTACATTTCTATCCTGTCATAGGCCAGATGTTACTCATCTTAGTAGCGTCGGTGCCCAACAAAGAACCTGGCACGCGAAAAATTATTAGTAAAGAAAATGAACTCTCTGTGGACCCAATCAAACCAAGATTCTGTTTCCTGAACTTTAAAAACCTAAGGGCCACTATGAGTCAGAATCAAATTCACGACAAGTACCAACAAAGAGTCTTCCAGTTATCTCCAAGAACTTAACCTGACTACACACTCAGTGAAAAATCCAGACAAGTCAGAGCTGCATAAAGGGCAAGTCCATGGGATGTGCTCAGCATACACCACATTCTCACTGCCCAGTTAACCACAACACATATCATACCGGACGTTCACTTTTTAGCAGCAAATGTGCAAAAATTTAATCATCATTCTGCTCTTTTAATTTGCTTTTGTGCATACCAAATCTTATCTAATACTTAAGTTCATTCTTTTTAATGAGCACATAGGCTTTTAAAGGGAATTAATTTTGCCAGTTCACTAGAAGATATATGCTGTGCTTCCTAGAACCCCAGCGTTGCATGCTTTGGGGACACCTAAAGAGATAATGTTCTCCAGTAAAAGAGATGAACAAGTCTGAGAATGAAATGTATTCTAGTAGGTAACTTCAGGCTCCACCTTTTTCCAGACACATTAATTCCAGGGAGAGGACTTTTGAGTGATGGCAAAGCTGTCTTCTGTGAAGCTGAAGACTGCAATCTGAGTTCAGCACGGGCTGGAGCATTAGCTAGGCCAGAGTCTCTTCAAGGGTGCAAGTCAGGGGATTGGAATAAATCTATAAGTCCCTAGCAAAATGTTAGAAATTATTCAGCTCAATTTGAAACACATCTAAAATAGAACACACATCCATGTTATTCATCTAAGCCATTTTGAAGGAAAAGAATAGGACTCAGAGGACTTAAGTAGCACCGGCATAGTGAGAGGAAATCATCCATCAGTGCAGTACTGAGTATGCATGGCTAGGATGAGCTTGAAGTGAGGCAGGTGTGAATTATATGGGTGACAGCTCATGCACTGAGCTTTCATTTGGCTTCCCTCTTACATCCTGAAAACATGAGACGATCAAAAGCTGCCCACATCAGTCCTCCAACACATTACATTATGAGTTATATGTGTGTTGGCCAACAAGTTCAAAGGCTAAATCATGGAGTTCTAAGGTCTCTTGCAATTCTCACTTCTGTGATCCAGAATATTAGAAAGCTTTTATTTAGATGAGTAACCACTACTAAGTCACTTCTTTTTATTCCATTTCTACCCATCTTTCCACCTGTGAAATGAAGGTTATAATGTTGTGATACTTGACTGATTTGATTCTGCCATTGTTAAGATTTTATATTTGGGGTTCTTGAATAAAAAGTTGAATATTTTCCCCTCTCAAAACCAAAGGTCAAGAAATAAATAACTTCTTTAAACATTCAATTTCTGTGTCCTACATTTTTTTAATGTTAAGCTACATTTATTAGTCATGATAAAATTTTCTGTGTCTTGCCTTGATTCTTTATAATGTGCTCAGTAACATTGAAAAAATGTCTTTTATCTGTAAAAAAAATAAATCCAAAATTGTGGTATTCATGTTTCTGAAAGATAATTTTTTCCTTCCTTCTTCTACTTAATGGTATTTTATTATAGACAAGAATCATATAAGTTTTTCAAAAGTTGTATTTACATTATACAGGTTTATAGAATGCTTTTATTTCAGTTTAATTAAATATTCATGGTTTTTAAATGCCCTAAGGGACTTATGTGAATAAAAGTTCCTTTGATGATAAATTGTCCTTTGCAGTGCATCATCCTGAAATTTGTTTCACAAGTTTTTAGAATTGCTTGTAAAGAAACATATAAAAACGTAACCTGCAGAATAAAAACTAAGATGCATGCTTTGTTGTTGTTGTTGTTGTTATGTGCCGTTGAGTTGCTTGCAACTCATAGCGACCCTATGTACAACAGCCCTAAACTTTGCTTTGTCCTGTGCCAATTGCACTGTCTCCAACACACCCATCCCAATTTTCCCAGTCACTGAATCAATCCACCTCATAGAGGACCTTCCCCTCCTGCACTGTCCCTCCACCCTACCAAGCATGATGTCCCTCTCCAAGGACTGGTCTTTCCTCACAACATGTCCAAAGTATGTTAGAAGGAGCCTCAGAATTCTTGCCTCCAAGGAGCCACCCAGTTTAACCCTTTCCAGGATGAATCTGTTTATTTTCCATGGTATTCTCAATACTCCAGCACCACAGCTCAAAGGCATCAATTCTCCTTCTATCCTTCTTGGTCATTGTCCAACTCTCTGGTGCATTCTTACTATAGAAAAAAAGTTGTTATATATGAATATGTTTTAAAATTCATCAAAACAATGTGGTATTTCTTGTTGGCCCCACAGCTGGTTCTGCTGCCGGGAAAACTGAGACTCTGGACCTACACAGCTTCATTGTGCTTGACATCTATTTTTGCTTGTTTTTTGAGCTTTTTTTGAAGCTATACGGAACAATACAAGTTCTTGTTCAACAATTCCTGCACATAATATTGAGTGACATTAGGTATATTCTTCACGTTGTCAACATTTTCACTATTTCTGTTCTGGTCATTCCACTCCCATTTTTGTAGTTTCATTGTTCCCAAACTTCTGTTGTCCATTTGATCTCATATGGATACTTTTTAAAAGAGCACAGTTCTCAAGGATGAAATTCTTTCCTTTTTGAGCAAACCTGATATTTATTTAAAGGTGATTTCAAAAGGTGGTTTCTGTTCAAGGTTTCAGGAGTACCTCGGGGCAGTAGAATCAGGGTAGTAGTAGTCTCCTCTAGTCTCAGCAGTTCCAGTCGGTCTAGAAGGGTTAGCATCCTGACTGAGTGCCTTCCTTCACTCTGCCTGACATGGCTTCATGATTTGCCATCAGAAAAATTAGCCTTTGAATTTGATCTCGGGATCACTTCTTGGCCCTTTACCCTGTACCTTAAGAAGAATATTCCTATTCATGTTTTAATTTGCCCAGTGTTATTGTGTTGTTGTTGTTGTTATGTGCCATCAAGTCATCTGCAACTCATAGCGGCCCTGTGCACAACAGCTCTGAACCCTTCTTTATCCTGAACCAACTTTACTATCTCTAACACACCTACCGACACCAGAGTCAATCCATCTCAACAGGGGTCTTCCTCTCTTGTGCTGTCCCTCTACCCGCCCAATCATGATGTTCATCTCAAATGACTGGTCCCTCCTTGCAACATGCCCAAAGTATGTCAGATGGAGCTTCAGAATCCTTGCCTCCAAGGAGGAGCTTGGTTTTACCCTCTCTAGGATGAACCTGTTCCTTCTCCTAGTAGTGGATATCATTGTGAGGAAATGTTTTATTTATGTACATTTTTAAAGTATAATGTATATTCTGACCATGAACCAGAGTATTACATAAATATAATTTTCACATACAACAAGTACCTGTCTCAGTGACTGATGGTTAAAGTTAGAATCCAGCTTCTAATGATTATATGTTAAAGCAGATAATTTCTAGGATGCTCTTAGCCAACTTACTTGAAGAACATCCAGTTACCTATTTCAATCCTTTGAGACAATCATAGACATCTTACTGGATAATCTCAGAGTGTTCCTTGAGAAAATGTGTAAATATCCTATATTTTGTGAGGAAAAGTAATACCATATGTGACATAGCTGTGTGAAATCAGTGGATTTCTCTTTGCTGTTGTACCCTGTTAAGTAGTGTCAATACCAAGTTGGAGAGGGAGAATGGCTACATTCACAATGGGGGGGGAGACAAAAAACTTTCCAAGATAATTTATCAATCAATCAGCTAATCAATAAATCTAAGTGCCAACTTTAGTTTTATTTGTCTCTGTTGGCTCAGGATATTGTGGGAGATTTTGAGTGGTGTCAGTTCTTTTACATAATTTTGCATGCCTTTCGGAGCAATGGCTAACTTACTTGGGGATGTGGGATGATGGCAGGGTGAGAAGACTGGTGTCTAGAGCATGAGTTGTAGTGCGCTTTGCTTACCAGTGCACAGAGCTCTCTGCTACACTGCTTGCTTTCGTCCAGATTAACTTTGGAATCATGCAGGGCTGAGGGATGAGGCTTCCCTGGCCTCATCTCTTAAAGAGATTTCTTCTTTTCTGAAGAAAGCTGGATTAAAATGGAAGTGTCCATTTGCCCTATGGAATATAAATAGAATATTATACTATTAGAAGCTGCCATTTTATACCCAAATTTGTATACTCTGAAACAGGAACTTCTGGAGAGTGAATAATTCCATTCACAGTAGGGCAGGGGGCAAAATAGTGCTCAGATAATTTCATGATTAGCTAATCAATAAATATGTGCCAGCTTTGTGGTTTTGTTCTTAAGAAATGAATTGTAGGCAAGCTCTGATGGCCCAGTGGCAAGAAACTGCACTGCAATCCCAGAGATGTGCAGTTTAAATCCACCAGATGCTCCGCTGGAGAAGGAGGGACAATCTCCTCGTGTACCAGTCAGATACGATTTGATGGTATACCTACAAAAAAAAATAATAAAATTTTTTAAAATAAGATATGAATTGGAAAGCAGAGATTCATGCACATTAAATTTTTCAAAGTAAATGGAGTAATCTACACAATTGAGACCATATTTAGGAGAACCCCAGCTATGAGAGATCAGATTCCTGCCATTCCTGGCTATCAAGAACTGAGAAAAGAACTTGAACTTGAATTATATATAGTCCCAGGAAATTGTACCTGTTTAGTCACCTTTATAAACTTTCTGCAAAGATGGAGAGGAGGGGAAGTAGTACATCTCTAGTCTTGATCTCTTGATCTTTTTAAGGATTAAAAAAATTAATCTGTTTCTATTTCCTGGTTATATATTTTTAAAAGCAATATTCCAAAAATACTAAAATTTGTAATAGAAAGTAGAACTCTACCCCCATAAAACGCCCCCTGGTGGCCCCTGTTAACAAGTTGATATCCGGTGTTTTTTGTTTGTTTTTTTTAATCTTTTTTGTTTGTTTGTTTTATTATTTGTGTGTGTGTACCATCAAATCAGATCTAACTGGTACAGGAGGAGCTTGTGCCTCCTTCTCCAGAAAAGCATCTGGTAGATTCGAACCACGCACCTCTGGGATTGCAGTGCAGCTGCAAGCCACCAGAGCTTGCCAAGTGGGTTTTTGGGGATTTTTTTCTGTGCATAGCTACTTACAGAACTTTGTAATGAGGGTACCCATTTTTACCATGACTTGTTACACAAATATATACAGAATAAAAGAGAGCAGAACAGACAGAACCATAAAAAAAGGATGATAAGATACAATTGCTCTTTTTTTTGGCACCTCTCTGTAAGGCAATCTTCTGGGAATTTTCTTTTCTTTTTACTTTCATTCTTACTCTTTTCTCATTTTTTTCACCCTTCTCTTACATTACTTATTTTACTGGGTTATTTGTTGTTGCTGTTTGTTTTTGTTTCCCTCCTGAAATGACACCATATTCCTGTTTATCTTCTTTGCAACTTGGCTAAATTTATGGTTCTGTTTGCAGATTGATTCTTTGTGTAATTAAGTGAACTATATCATCCTATAGAATCATGTGAATGGAGAACAAATGTTGTTGTCATCAGGTGCCATCTAGTCAACTACAACTCATAGTGACCCTGTGAACCAAAGAGCTGCCCTTGGCCTATCCTGCACGCCATCCTTACCCATCTCTGCTACACTGCAGCCCATTGTTAAAGTCACTGTGCCAAACCACCTTGTTGAGAATCTTCCTCTAACACTCCACCTTTTCCAGCATGATGTCCTTTTTCAGCGATTGGCCTCTCTTGACATAATGCCCAAAGTCTGTAAGACAGATTCACACTCCTGCCTCTGAGGAGCACACTGGTTGTTCTTCCTCCAAGACAGACTTGTTGGTTCTTTTGGCAGTCTGTGGGAGAGCAGAAAGATCCCTAATACTAGAGGTTAAAAAATCACAAGAGTTTTGATATTTCCTCTCTGGAGGGATGAAACAATACTCGTTGGTCAGTTAGCAGTTTTAGCAAATAGACTGCACTAAGAAATCTCCAAAGTGGAGATTATGAAATAAGCATTTAATAATAGAAAAGAGGAGCTGTATGTCCTTTTCTCCCCTCCCACTCTCCACCTCCACTCCCCAGACTGGCTGACAAGCTAAGCAGACAGGAGTGCATGTCTTAACTTCTCCTCTTCTCTCACTCACCAAATCCTGTGTTCAAGACGTAGATTGTTGAAACAAGAGGGCAGATGCTGCCACGGCCTCTCTTCCCATTGAACGGAGCTGCTCTGTGCCCCGCAGTCCACTTTAACCCAGAGAATAACCTCTCTGGAGAGCATTCTCCTCATCTGAAGCACGCACAAACATCACTGCATTTTTCTTTTGCTTGATAAAGGATAAAGGAAGAAAGGCTGCAGCTGCTCTTGGAGCGGACAGCAAACAAGCCACACTCTTGTGGCCCCCACAGCCTTCACAAAGAGGAATTCAGAGAACTGGGCAAACAAACATGCACAGCCCAAGACTTCTGCTCAGATTCACCTGCCAAAATTATTAATTAAGCATTTCAAGAACTGTTGAGTGAACTCAGAGCTTAACCAAGCATGTTTTCCAATGTGTTTTTATTAAGATGGAGAGAGAATGGAGTTGAAGAAATGGAAAGTGCTTCAAAGATCACCTAATCTGACTCTAACCCTACCTGGTCCAGTTTAAGATAAGGGCAGAAAGGCCCTAAGAAAGAAGACTTGTCCATTATCCAACCTCTCATATGTTCTTATATACCACTGGAGGTTTAAGATAAGGCACCAGCCACCAGCATTGTACACATCTTACTAGCTCTTAAGATATTCCTGAGGATGGCACTACAGACATTTGCATTACAGTGTCTTACCCCACAGTTAGTGGATGTTGTTGTTGTTATGTGCCGTCGAGTCGCCTGCGACTCAGCCTGAGAAAAAAAATTATAGCATGTAAAATTTCAAAGCTCTGGGGAGCTCTGGTGGCCTAGTGGCAAGAAGCTGCACTGCAGTCTCAGAGGTATGTGGTTCAAATCCACCAGATGCTCTGCTGGTCAAGGAGGGGCAATCTCCTCCTGTACCAGTCAGATCCAATTTGATAGTGCACACACAAAAAATAATAAAATTTTTTTAAATTTAAAAAAAAATTTCAAAGCTCTGATTGTACATTTAGTGTCTATTGATTCACAGAACCAGAGGAAGGGGGGGTCAAAGATGAAGACAAAGTACATTTCCCCCCAGATTAGTTAAGACATTTACTGAATAGAGTGCATAACAAACTGTGAGTCCTTTGAGAATCAGTTTCCAAATGAAAGGACTGAGTATTGCTCTTTTTCTTTTGTAAAGAAAGCCTGTTCATTCTGCTTTGTTGGTGGGAGTCACACTGAGCACAGTCTCACCATTTAAATGTGCCACTTGTCTGTTTCAGGTAAATGTATCTTTTACTTTAAAAGGAAAGGGGGTTTTGCTATACAGCTGTATTTTATTTGACAATTTTAGAAAATGCCAGTTGAACAATTCATTAATATTACTTAAACAAAACTTGATAGCAAAGTAGTGTGTAGTGTCTATGTCGTTTTTTAAAAGCAAATTGATAAATAAAAATAATCTCCCATCCTACTCTTTTCCAGTCTGATTCCAGAAACCATTTTTGCTTCAGTAACTACTCAAAGCCACATCAGCTATCGTTTATTATATGTAGATTCTTGTACAGGCTTGTCCCTCCCACCTTTCTGGAGGTCATACTTTTCTATCTTAATTGGAAGAGTTGGTTTCTTAGGCGTATTTTTTGGTTGCAATCCTGAGATTCTTTTTTTATGGAATTCAGAGTTGTCTTTCTTTCCTTATATTCTAAATCTTCATGCTTTTGAATTTCATCTTCATGTTACTGAAAAGGCTATCTTCATGTTATTGAAATAAGTATCTTTATAAGGGAGTATGGCAGCTAAGTTTTCTGGATTCTCCAGCTTCTAAAATAAAATCTGACTTTGGTGTTCACACTTGATTGATAGTTTAGCTATAAAATTCTAGAATCAAAATCATTTTAGCATCATTATTTTGAAAATACTATTCCATTGCAGTATTGCTTGTAAGTCTAAAGTAATTCTTACTCAGCCTTGAACACCAGCAGGTTATTGTATTGAGATCTTTGTTTGATTCCAAATATTCTGAAATTGTCTTAATTTTACCCAGGAGTAGATCTTCTTATATAGGTAAATGATACAGTGGTCAAAAATCCAAGTGATTTGAGTTAAAATCCTGTGTCTGCCATTTAACTAGCTGTGTAATCATGGGCAAGATAGCCTCTCTGGGCTTCCCTTGAGGATAATATCGTCTGCCTCCTGAAGGAGATGTGAGAATTGAGATAACTGACAAAAGCACTTAGAAGAGCAGGTGCTCAATAAATGTTAGTGGTAAGGATTTTAGCTTTCTCAACCTTCTGGTATTTATTCTAAACTGAAGCCTTATTTCTTCAGCTGAGGTATTATCTTCCCTTTCTTTGATAACGTACTTGTGTGAACTTTTCCTCTCTGAAACCAAAACTGATTGACTGTCAGATTTCTCACATGGGTCCTGTGTCTGGTGACTGTTTTATTTTATTATCTCTCTTTTTGATATTCTAAGAAATTTCCTCAACTTTATATCTATTCTATATCTTTGCCTGATCTTTACTTTGAAAAATTAAAAGCATATGGAAAATTATTAAGTCATTGAGTTATACAGTAAACATTTGAAAATATAGATATACACACACATTGTTGTTATTGGCCATCAAGTAGGAACCCTCCAGTGGGTTTTCAGAAGCTTTAAATCACACAGGAGAAAACTGCCCATTTTTCTCCTAAGGTGGCCATCAGAATGTGCATGCTCTCTCTGTCTCTCTCTCTGTGTCCCTCTTTCTCTTTCTATATATAATTTTGCAAAAGAGTCATACAATAAACACTTGTAGATAGATATTGTTGTTGATTGCCTTTTGAGTCGAGCACGACGCATAGCGAACTCATGAACAAAAGGCCTTAAGCTCCTCTACAACTATCGATGTTTATCAAAGTTCATAGAATTTCCAGAGGCATGTCATTTAGGAAGTGGATGCCACTTC